GCATTTGGCAAATTAGTATTTTCAGCACTTTATTGTACATATCAGGCACCTGTTTTTGAGCTAAAGAAGCTACACCTTTGCTTCTGTTAAAATAATAGCTCAGTAGGAGAGAACAAATGTCAAATGAAACTGAAACGAAATGAAAATGTAATCGTAAAAAAAAGTTACTGGATATTACTACCAGATATTAAGATACTTATTTGCCCTTACAATATGGCATCTGGAAAACAGGTTTGATATGACCATGCTATTTCAGTTGTTGACACGACTTGGTGCCCTGTAAATCCCTATTTATCAATTAGTTTAACCAACATAAACAAATGCCATTTAGTCCTATGGAAATCATTCCAAAAGACAGGCGCCCTCAAAGATGACCCTCACTTATTACAGCACTCCATGTCAATCCAAATCTTTCACAGCCATCAATACATGAACTGAATGAATGCATAACCTTGATTTGGACATGTTCAAAAGTAGTTCAAAAATGAGTATTAACTGCAATAAAACTGAAAAAGTAAGAGATTTGGGGACTAATGCTGGTTTTTACATCAGTATGACTGTCGGTTTCACTGAACATGCTAATGGGCAAATTCACTATAGTGAAACCCACTACCAGGATGTTGGGCATGGTGATGACGATGTAAGAATTAACATGGCAAAGTTGCCTAGTTTCATACATATGGACATGACAACTGGGCTACACATGTTATGAATGAGAATTTACTCCACTTTTACAGGCTATTTGCTGAGTGAGTGAGTTAGGGTTTACACCAGTTGACCAGTAATTTGGCCTGTAGTGATGCAGGACTTGTACATTTACCACTTTGGTGAAACCCATGTGCACATGTACTCACAATTCAAACAATAATTAGGCCAGCACTAGAACCCACAATAATTGCTTTCTGGCATGTCCAAGGGAGACAACTCTACCTAGCCATTTGTGATGACTTAGCCAACTGAAATACACATATCCAATGCACAATTATGCAGGCGAAAAAGGATTGATAAAATAACTTTAACATTTGAAAAACAACTGTGTACACATACAGTCTATGCAGTGCTAACTGATACTATGTATATCACTATTTACTACCAGTATTCCACACTGGTGTTAAAGTGTTACCTCAACCGATAGCCAAGCACCTACAGCTGATGACATCAAGCATTAAGTTTATATTTATACAGCAATATCATATGTTAGGGAAAACACCTGTAGTATGCATGCCTTTACATAAGGGCAGAATTTTTATTTTCTGTGTTTCTCATCGCCCGACCGATCCTAATTTTATTGCCGACCAAAAATTGTGTCTTCTTACAAATATTTGAGCGTTCATTTCTCATGCAGTGGGTCATGGCATAAAACACAATAAAACTTTGTCATATCCAGAAAGTGTTAAATATTTTACGTCCCCAGCTACCAAATTTCAGAAAATTAACACTATCTTTTAAGATACTTCTCAACATCTTTGACCACAAGGTAATCCCAACTTTAGCTTGTGGCTCAGAAATATACGGATTTCATCCCTCACTGGATGCAGACAGAGTATACAATAATTTCTTAAAGCAATTTCTTTTTCTTGGTAGAAATGCACCAAACTTTATGGATGTTTATCTTTCAAAACTGGACAAAATATAACAGTTGTAAAATATTGGACACAGTTATTATACCAAAAGGATAATAGAATATAATCATGATAATACCACACATACTGTTATCAACATAAATTAGCAGAAGTTGGTGGATAATGTTGAGCCCATAATGTAAATCAATTGTTAAATAAATATGGTTTTAGCTATGTTTTATAAATAAGTTCCTATTTGATTTTAAACCAGGATATATATCAATAGATCAACAGACATTGTTTGAATTAATATGTTCGTTTCCCAAACGTATTGTTTATCAATCTCTAAAGAAGGAATAATGTTGTAAAGAATATTTGTCAGTTGTGAATGTTGCTTCATATAGAATAGCCCTTACTAAATTTAGGTGTTCAAATCAGATTAATGATAGAGGAAGATAGAAAACTTCTTATTGCTAAAGATCAGCGATTTTGTCATCTAAGCATTGTTCCCTGTATTGAAACAGTACCTTAATATGTCCTTTTTTTGTCAGATTTGAGAAAATTGTTACCTGAATATTATATTGTAAATCCAACATATGCTACATTTTATCAGCTATTATCATCCAAAAACCCAGATGTTATTAATTGTCAAGTAAAGTATGTATTTCTTGCCATGAAAAAATATATATAATCAGTTGCAGTATAGAAGAATATGCAATCAGAAGAATATGCATGGCACCCTCTATACATGGAGCATACATGTTGTATTACTTGTACATCAATCTTTATTTCAGTACTGAGGAGGCCACAGGCCTATAGTACATTTCATATATACAAATTTCTTATCGACATGGCTTGATAAATGAAAACCGCAACATTTTTAATTACACTTTCATTTGAAGAATTCAATAGAGACAAAAATTTATCAATTGATTGATGGACAAAATAGAGTTCTTTAATATATTTTTTACGTATAGTATTGTATTAGCTTGTATAATGAACCAGTGGCCACCTTAGTGTAATAATCTCTCTCTCTCTTGATATCGATTGATTTACAAAGATTTCATTATTTAATATTTTATTAATAGATTAATAGGTGTTATCTAAGATATTTAGGGTGAATTTAACATGTAAATTTTTTGGTTTACCTTCCTCTCTGTCGCTGCCACAAGTTTGAAGTCCAGAGAACGCGAGAAATTGTAATAAGTACAACAAATGAGAATCAAGCACTATTCAGAATTTTGTCTATATTTTTTAATTTTTTTTATTTTTCCCCAACCGACCGACCCATGTTCAGAATTTGGTGGCTATGTGAAACATATAAAAATATGTAATACCCTAATAGTAATACACATGTTTCATTCTTATCTTTATATGACTGAAACAGACAAGAGTTTAATCTCTGTCAGTCATAAAATAACTGAACATTAAGATACATGTGATAACTTTAGTAATCACATAGGAAGACGATGACTGTCCTTTTCATAACGTAATGCCATGTGATTAACAGCCAACTGATTCACATTAGCTCTTAACACTGGCCACTATAACTCAATATTTAAGAAACCATGCAAACGTTTCTGAGCAAGTTGGCATTGGATAGATGTACATGATGAATAGACCTCACCTCATTTGCATATTTATCAGATCATGGTACCTGGGTAACCATGCTTACAGGATTGTATGGATGTTGATAACAGTCTGAAACAAAGATTTGCAAAAAACATGCTGAAAAACATTTAAAAGAATCCAAATTTGGCAAACATCATGTACAGTTCAACTGATTTGAGAGAAATGAAACTGTTTCTGATAAAACATGGATTTGTCGATGGTGACATTTCTTATCATGTAGTAAACTTGGCAGCACTGTTACCATGGTTACAACAAAGGCTCTGCTGGTTATTTACAGATCACTCTTATGTCAACTGAGTAGACACTTATTACCCACGAGGTCAACGTATGGGTAGTTGCATACTAATCTCGTACTTAACACGAGTGTCGTATCGCGTTGACCTGTGTCGTAACGACTTGACCTAAGATTCTAACGATTTGATTGGATAACCGATGCCCTCTCAATTAGGTCACATTCTGACGTAACTATTTTTTCATTCATAACAAACATGTGAATTCATTCATTCTACAACTTAAATGCATTGTGGGAATGTAAACATTGCGAACGTTGCCGTTTCGCTGTTTAATTGTGAGTTGAACTGAGACATTATATCCGTCGAAAAACGTAATACAATGTTTCCACCAGTGATGTTAGCCGAATGAAACAACTGGAAACCAAGAAACGAGGTGCTACGGAGTAGTTTACTGTAGGAGGCTGTACGAAGGCGATGACAACTGACATGCATCGTGACTTCGGTTACCAAGGCAGTGACGTCATTACAGTGTGATGTCATGCAAATATTGTACTACAGTACAAAACTCTTCCGCAACCTCTTTATGAAACTGGTTTCGGTTGAAACAAAAAAAATAACAAAAATACGCTATTTTGTCAATTTAATGCATGTAAGGAGTGGGTAATAAATAAAATACCACACTCGGTCTCATTACATACGAATTATATGAAACTCGTGACCTTCCTATGATATCTGACCTTGCTTTCGCTCGGTCAGATACCATAGGAAGGACACTCGTTTCGCATAGATCGTATGTAATGAGACCTCTTGTGTAGTATTCTCTATATATATCATGAAATATATCAAGGAACCATGTGAAACATAAGTTATTGTTGGCAGTAGTTATATAAGTTATCATACGATATTCAATGAAATGGTAAAACTAACATGACAAAGCTATTGCTTATGATCACTAATCTATACATGTACCGTGTTTTCAAAAAAAAAGTAAGGTGCCCTTATACATGTTGTAGCTGTACATTTACTATAGTTCATTTGGTTTCTAAAAATATATAATCACAGGTTAGAAACAACATTTTGAATACCCAAAGAACATTACCCTGTGTGAGGAATTTGTGGTTGGTTGGCTGGTTCGTTTGTTGTTTAACACCGCCTCAGCAATATTCCAGCTATATGGCATCTGTAAATTATGGAGTCTGGACCACACAATCCAGTGATCAACAGCATGAGTATCAATCAACACAAATTGGGATACAATGACATGTGCCAACCAAGTCAGCAAGCCTGACTACTCTATCCTGTTAGTTGCCTTTAACGACTTTTTATCAGGAGCCATGAAGCAGGTTACCAGTAGAAAACAATGGTAACAGTCACAATCTAGTGTTAAACATCTTAATATTCCAAGCTTAGCCTGTGAATCAGATGATTTCTTTGATGGGCATTTTAGAAGTTAAGTTGATGAAGAATAATGACAATTATTATGGATATACAACTTCTTTTATTCTGTGGAGGCGACGTTTCGACATTGGTTCTAATGTCGTTGTAAAGTGACAACGACATTAGAACCTACGTCGAAACGTCGCCTCCACAGAATAAAAGAAGTTGTATACCCATAATAATTGTCATTATTCTTGTGAATCAGATGGTTCAGAGAACTTGTCAAATTGCTGAAGTTCCTACTGGCAAGGTTTCTGATGGTAAACATATTAATTGTACACATTACAAGCATCCTGATAATTATGAACATCATGAAGCTGTTGCTTAGCAATAAATATCTGCATGTAAATACTAAATTACTACTGATATGAATGGCTGACTTGTTGAAGACATGGCAAATGATATGAGGGGAGAAAGTAGCAGGGTTTAACAAATATACAGGCTGCTGGCCAATCCTGACTAATGTAGCATACCTGTGAGATTGATTGAAGTATCCCTGGACTGGTTGTTTCATATTTATGTGATTCCAGGCAGCAAACATTAACAAAACATGTGGTATTGTTGCAACGCTACATGATTTCAATGTACCCTTCTTTCACAAGTCTGCCGTGATGTTCCTGGAATATTGCTAAAAACGGCGTAAAACCTAACTCACTCACTCTTTCACAAGTTTACTGGATTGCAACAAAATTGCCAATATGAACTGTAGGACAAAGCTTGAAATTATCTGCTATTTCTAATTTGTTATTATCCTACAAAATTGACATCTAGCTAATGGTAACATAGTAGTCTACAGGGAAATGTCACACCTTCCTTCTCAGACTGCTCTCAGACTAGTGGTCTTATCACATCATAAGTTCTAAACCCCAATACCTCAAAAGTGATGAGTATGAAGATATAAAAAAGATTCATTCGCAGTAGGCATGATGAGAATGTTCAAGCTTTCTTTCACACAAACACATCCATAACCTTCTGAATTCTTTGTCTGCATAATGGGCACACACGTCTTTCTATCAATCGAGATCGGACAATTCGATTTGCACAGTCTACACACAAACACATATGCCTACATGGCAAAATGAGAACTGATTTAGTTTGATCTTGACAAACAACACATTTCCTCTTGTCTTTCTCTCGTTCAATTTCCATTTCAAAGTCTTGAGTGCTCATTTCCAACTTCTGCGCCCTGCTTGGTGTGGACGACCGACTTCGTAAACTGTACCGCTCAGATGGTGCAGGGAGCTCCACTTCGATTTCATGGTCACTATCATCTGAGGAAAACGTTTGAGAATTCAAAGACCCTTCACTTTCATCATCATCTTCATCATCTCCATCTGAATCTACATCACTTCCATCTTCATCATCACTACCGCCAGTCAGCGTGTCATTGTCGTCACTGATATATTCATTCTCTTCACTTTCATAGTCTTGATCATCAAATTCATAGTCACTCTCAAAGTCATTATCAATATCATATAAATTGTGTGGTCTTCGTGGATGTCTTCTCACTCTTCGCCGCCACCAACTCAAGAATGAAAAGCCTCTGTTCTGAAAAAACTTGAACAGCTCGGATATAATGACATACAATATACAACACAAGAGAATACCCAGGTATACTTCCTTGGAGAAAGTAAATGTTTCAGAGAGATTTGTCGTCACATTGTCCCAGGCATTGCACAATTTGTCTCTGAATTTCCACGCACACTCAAGTAAGGATGCAAACCCATACCCAAGGCCACTGAAGACACCTTTCACAATAGATACTGTCAAAGTTCCAATCATTGAGAAACCTCCAAAGATGGTGTCGACAAAGTTTTTGGACATGTCAATGCCATAGTTCCAAGTAGATCCACATGTTTCAATAACATCTGTTGCAGAATGTTTTAAGGTTGTCAGTGTCACATAGCTCCCTGTCCATATGCACACTGCAATTGTTTCAATTCCAGTCAAAACAAAACAAACAACTTTGTACAACAGCAACAGTATTCTCCAAATAAGGGCACACAGAGTGCAGAAACATCCAAATAAATCTGTTGCGAAGTCAAAGATGTGATGTCCTACGTCCATTGTTCCGCAGATGATCCTCTCTAACGCCCAAGCAAGTGTTGTGACGATCAAGGATGCGTAGTGACAAACTGTCGACATAACTTGATAGTTCGTATACACAACATAATGAACTATTTCACAAACTGTTGCTACGGTTTGAGACATCGCTGAACAAAACGTTAAAAATCCCTGAGAAACTGCTTCCACCGTGACCATCTTTGCAACTCGTAGCAATTATCTTCAGTTTTTTTCATAAATTCGGGTTCTGTTTATTAAACAAAAGGTTGACACTTGAACAGAAACTGGAAGTACGCTGACGCGACGCCATTTTTTCTGGAGCACGGGCACTTGTTTCCGGTTTTGAAGAGAAATCCTTTCAGATACAACTTATTATACTTTCAGATATTTGTGAGATAAACGTATGACCTTACAAGTAAAAGAAAACAAACTAAAACCCACAGTAATGTAATCCAGTGCGTATTCTATAAATTTGACAAATGAAAAGAATTTTTATCGTATATTATTATTTATCAGCATGTATGATATGAATGTATGTAAGTAGTTGTAAGGAAAAATTCAAGAATGACATAACCGGAAGGGAATTCCGTGTATCGAATGAAGCTGAGGGATGCATCTATTTATACATGTCAAGAAGACCTTTTGCAGTAAAATGGTGCCGGCTTCATAGCATCAACTGCGCTGTCCACAGATAGGTATAAGATCTGCCATAATCAGTGATTTCGATACAAAACTGACCATGGCAACTGAATATACCACGTGCAGACCATGTTGTTTACATTGGTTGCAGGATTATTCCTGATTTCAGTGTCTGGTTGCGTGTGTGTGACATTGAAGATATATTTCGCTATGCCTGCCAATCTCACGTCAGGTCTCCGTTACGCCTTCGACTTTATTGTAGCATTGGCTGAGTTTATCCTTAAACTAGCCTACATCATTATTTTGTTTGTGATAAACATTGCCACTTATGTATTATCAAGCATATTGCAGTTCGTGCCATACCTGTTCAAGACATTTTCCTCACTCCTCTCGTTTCTGTTCTGGATTTTAACACAACTCATTCGAGGAATATTTGGAATGGGGGACAAGACAACAAACACATTAAGTTGGCTGTTCGTACTGTGTTCAGTTTATTTATATTTTGATCATAAAGGCTTTTTCTTCGGGTCAAAGACTCCTGAACGAACTACAGAAAATCAGGATAACAGACAAAATGACAGAACAAGAAATACTAACACTCAGAGAGAAACTCGTAGGAATGAAACAGAAGGTCGCACCCGTAATGATCATGAACAGGCCCGACAGCGTATAGGGGAGAATAGTAACAGACCGAATACATGCAAATGACAGAGCAAGTGGAAATCAAAATCAAACTGACAGGTTGAGAGAAGTTCAGCCACCACAAGCTCAGGGAATGAGGACAGGGAGTATTCAACATCCACAAGCACAAGCTATCATGGCTGAGGATATTCATGATGATTCTAATGATGACACTCAACAGCTTGAAGCTGAGAATCGAGAGAATGAAAATGAAGCTAACACTAAAGAGGAAGCAGATAAAACAAGAATGCATGATGACAATGTTCGGAACACGGAACGGGAACTGTACGATGGTGCTGCACAACCGAGGGCAGAGGAGAATATTGATATCACTCTGTGTGTAATATGTTTGGACAGAGAACGGAATGCTGCTGTGTTCCCGTGTGGCCACACCCATCTTTGCCTGACCTGTGTCAAGCGACTGAGAGAAGAAAATGGACTGTGTCCCATGTGTCAGAGACATATCCAAGAATACAGAGAGGTCTTTGTGTAAACTCTGTGGATAATAGCAATATATTTATACAATGGTCACAGTAAATCATTTTTGTTTATATTTTCTTTAGAAAATATTGTGTTTTTTATGAAATGATACTTCAACTGATTGTAATTATGTCAGTGAAATGTACATACATAGTATAACTAGAAGTTGTTGGAAATGACACCATACTTCCTTACCCTCTTTAGAGCTTTTGAACCTGAATACAACACGTAAATGGTTCATGCTATCACAATTCACAAGTATATGGGCAATTCTTGTGAAGATGGTGCATACAATGTTTTCGAGTTATGAAGATCAATTTTTGAGTTACGAAGATCATAGTGAACATTTTGTTATGCATAAAAGGAAATATTGTGCTCTCATGCTGGTAAATATAAATAGTTTTTCATTTTGTTACATATTTCTTCAACTATTGGCAGAAATGATTTTACTGAATTGTTACAGTTTACAATTAACATTTTCAAGAACAAACTGATTGGACTTGAAAGGATCTCCCTGTGAAAGGCGAAGCTTGGAAAAATGTTTTTTCTGATGACCTGGAGTTCAAGAAACTAATCTTTGGTTGTTTGTTTGTTGCATTTATTGGTCTTTCATTTTTTATTGTATGATTTGACTTTTTGAGGTGAAACCTGCCTTTATATTGTAATGCATGTCTTGTTTCCAGTCTGGTCATATCAAGATATTATCATAATTATACACCTATCATGTAGGTATTTAGCTCCACCATCAGTATGTGTTCCTTGCAGCATTTATTTTAATGTTTGTGCTTCCCTGTTTGAGACTACCATGACGATCCAGTTAAGAATTGGTCTTCAGCAACCCAGGTTCAAAGAGGTGATAAATGGGATTGGATGGTTTGTCCATGTCATCGTACCTAACATGTGTGGATCAACGTTCATGATGTCAAGCTGTTTATTGACAGACTGCTGTCATAGAGCTTGAAGACTGCTGAGTGCAAAGAACAAAGACACTCACCTGTTTGAGGCAAACTAATTTGTCACCATGGTTACTATGAACACAAAGCATGGATAAATTATTTAGGTGATTGTACTGCTATCCATTGAAACCTCATAATGATATGTTTGGTTACAAATAGTTTTAGAGATTTCAAATTAATAACTCAGACTAAAAATCACGTAACATTTCTGCCTGTCATGTATTATATTGAATTTCATCCCAGAGTGAAATCTGATCTACCAATTAATGTACATGTATTTGTGTTTGAAATGTCAACCTCAGTTAGCCAGTCAGTATGCACAAGTAACTGTGGACTACTAAAACTAAACAGCAACTGACTTTAGTCTTCTTACAAAAAGCTGCACTGAGCATGATTGTTTCAGATTTTGTATCACTATGTGTTGTGTATCACAGTGGATCAGTAATGTTGTATGTATTTCAATGGAATATAAGTATTGTGGTAGAATTGTCAACATGAATGCTCCCAGCGGGGATTACAGGTTAGACTTGGTCACCAGCAAGGTACACTTGTCAGAGCAGATGACTTAATGAATGGATGTACCTACTTGGTGAGATCATGTCAAGAGAGCTTGGTTCATGGCTCAACTCTCTCCTATAGAGTCAGTTACTGACAGGTTACAATGGCTGGAATGTCGTGTGTGGGGTTAGACACAAACCAACAGTGTGTATGAATTTCTACCTGTGTGCTGATAGTCATGTTTATTACCTGATAGACACCTAATCAACTGTGTGCAATAAATGGTACCTCAACCCATCTTCATGCCAAGTTATCAAATACCTATTAAGAATACACAATTTTCATTAAAATTCCAATTTGAGTTGGATTCTAAGCTTGGTAGCTGGTGTCTCTCTTCCAGCAGTAGTCAACACCAACGAATTTGAAGAGCACAAATGACATCAGATCTTATTTGTAGCTTCCAATAAGCTATAAATATGAATTATGTTTTAATGTCACAAGCATTTAGATATGCATGTACATCGTGTACTATACTGTCCTGTATTATGATATATACCACAAAGTGCTTTAATTGTGGCAGCCGCTTGCTGTGTTGGCTATGCATGACCTGTCCGGTCTGTGACATATACTGATTGTTTCAACTTGGTGTAATGACAGATGTATGAATATACAGTATTTTATTTTGAATTCCCAACTGCTTGCTTCCATGTCATGTACACTGTTGTTCAATCTCTGAGATGTCAGTGTTTAAAATTATGGGTATCATGGACCCTGAGGGGTGCTCCTATAGTATTTGAATTCAGATACTCATACAACGACAAACCACATTAAACTTTAAAGTGGAACACTTATATGGATAGATGTTTGTTGCAGTAGTTCTTGACGTTTGATTGTAGATCTAACACCGTTATCAAGCAAATGATACTAATGTTAGGATCTACACCAAAAACGTCGCAACCACTACTGCAACAAAGATGTTGTCTATCTATAAATAGTGTTCCACTTCATCATACCAGCTTCTAATTGCCACTTAAGGAAGTCACAATAAACTTGACTTCTGTGTTCAAATTTGAACAGGTTAACATTATTGTAAAACTGTAGTGGTGGAAACATTACTACTGGATTATTTGTTTATGTTAAGACATAATGTTCAGAAAAATTGTTGAACATTTTAACATTGACTCGGATCTGACACATGATCTACTAGTATATTATTAATTCCCTGTTTCAAGAATATACATGGTTGTGCACACCGTACATAAGCTGACATGTAGTATGGCTACTTCTGGTGTTTTGACAATCATGGAGGAAGGTAGTGTCTACAAACCTGTGAAGTGTTGATGATTCTTGTGTATATCAAGTTTATATATTCTGAAAATAGAATTCACAAAGTCACAGTATGTCAGATGTTGTTAGTATTCAATACTGATTTACCACCTCTGAAAAATACTTGAAGTATGTGTTATGTATTTGTTTTGGAAACAGATCTGTCATATTCAGTGTATGTTAAATAGTAATTGTATTGCTGTAGTTGATCTGTTACACTATGACAAATTTACTATTGTAATATGAAAGACTACGGTGTTCCTGAACTTCCTTTAAGTCGTAATCATTCCTTTAAGGTTTCCGCAGATTTTCCGTGAATGTACAGTTAATATTGATCTCGTCTGTGTGCCAAGTTTATTGTTTGAGAGCAACCTTTTAATCCTGCAAATTTGTCCTGCAAATGTTGTCATTTTAATTTGAAATTTGAACTTTATTGGTGTTTTTTTTCTGTGAAGTTAGTGGTGCTTTCAGTGTGAGAAATGTTAAAAGCTAATGTGGTCAGACTTGATCAACATAATGGCTTCTTACCACAAGCATCAAAAAGTATTGGGGACATAGCAACAGTATCCAAGTAAGGTGGGTCTTTGTGATGTCAGGTGGAACTATGCATTTGTAACCAGCCTGGACAGATGTGATTGTGCAATGTCTGTTTCAACAGTTTGATGTATGTTAGTATCCCAACTTGCAGGAATCAGACTGTTATTGAGCAAAACCATTAAGGATCATGAATATTTTTATTAAATTGTGTGTTCAGACTTTCTCTTAAAATATCCCTAAAATATTAATGAAGTCTTTGTTTCAGTGAACTTTTGCTTTATAAGAACATACAGGAAATGTCAGGTTTAGTTTGTAGTGTATCCAGTACCAAGTCATGTTTTACATCAGATGTCATTTTGCATAGTATAGTGCTGTGTAGAATTTGGATCTTTTAAAGTTTGCGATAGGGCATTCCTGAAGATGCTGTGCCATTTGGAATTAAGTGTGCCAACTTAAAATATTTTCATTGAATAAAGATGCATGTGTTTACAGGTGATTTTGTTTAAAAATTATTATTTTTTAAATGTGAACTTCAGCAGCAGTATGTTAGGATTAACATGTCGCAATGATGTACCCACAGCGCTGTATGACACCTGTACTGTAAGAGAGATCTGTATATCTGGGCCAGTAGGTCATAGTTTCCTTTTAAACACCTACCAAATGATGAGCAGAGGATGTCAGACATGGCAGGGGAATAATCAAATCTTGTTTCGCTGTGTGATTGGTCAGAATGGTCAGTTTCCAGTCAGCTCCATTAGCATGGACATGTTGCTTTTTCTGGACTTGTGTGCTGAAGGTGAAAATAACAGAACATATGGAGTGAGTGAGTGAGTAAGTTGGGTTTTACACTGCTTTTAGCAATATTCCAGCCATCCATTATCGGTGTGATTGGTCAGAACACCAGAAATGGGTGAAGAATTGTATCTGGGCTCCATTATCATGGACATGTGAAAAGTGCTGAATGCTTTAAACACAGGGCTACCCTACCAATCCTAGAACACATGAAAACTGTGTGTATTGTAAAGTATACTACTCAAAAAAAGTAAAGAACACATACTTTCATATTTACTTATTCCCTGCTTGCTGGGAAGTTTTGATGGATTCAATGTTTTCATTACCAAACATCCCTCGCTTTCAAAAGTGTTCACTTATTTTTTCCTTCAGTATATGCCTATTTTCCTACCGTTTCTACAAAGCAATTTACCGGGTGCATGTCTAGTTGGCCTTAGATTTAATACTTTTATATTGCTGCCAGCAGTGTCTTCAGTTGCCAATAAAACAGTTTAGTTATGATGGTTCAGTTTTGTCTTAATTCCTCCATTAGTCAGTTGGGCTTGAAGTACCCTTTAACAGTATTTCAGCTAGTTACTTTGTGGGAGGAAATCTACAAGTGATGCAGGTCTCGGACGCTTGCCACTTTTGTGAAACCAACAAGCACGAGTATGGTGCTGATACAATTAGCGACATATCAGTGTCGATTTGTACACATAATAATATTCCCCTTATTATTTCTTCTGGCTTCATGAAACAGTGTAAAACAACATAGAACATTCACACAAATACACCCTCGGATCACCTTCTCCCAGCATGCTCCTGTACTACTCAGTTTGGTCTAAGTCTGTGAGTTGATGTAATGGTTACAATGTCTTGTGGGCTGTCCAATATAGGATCTGAAGGAAAAGATGATGTGCACAACTCAGTGGCTGGGAGTTGAGATTGATAATACAAACTCATGCACTCATTGTGAGGCCTAAGGGACACAACTCTGTTCAGCTAATGTTGGAGGCTTACATATCTGAGCCTCCTGATCTCGTCGTTTCCCACTGAGTTTGTCTTAGTAACTGAGCTTCATACGCCAAAAATTGACTTCATACGAAAAAATCAAAGGTGGCAAAAATGACCAAACAACCAATCTAGTCCAGCACTCTGTTGGGATTTTGGGTAGCTCTCTGAGAACTGTGTGTCCTTAATGCTTGACGACCTCATAAACCTTTTCGGACAAGTATTTCCTGCCTTTCAAGAGCCCTCAGGATCAGATATCAAATGTAAATCAGTATCTAGCAACATCTCTTTTATCTCCAGGTTTTCTGTTGTACTGTTGTACATAATTCAAAACAATGAGTGGAAATGTTTTGTATGTCACTTATCATCATATCCAAATTGCATAGATCGATGCTCATACTGTTGATCACTTGATTGTCTGGTCCAGGGCCCCGTTCCTCAAAGCGATCGTAGATACAATCAGTTGTAAGCCCTACGATCAATTTTATAATTATCGTAAATAACAATTTATTGTCGTTCCTCCAAGCTATTGTAAGGGAATTGTAAATCTTTCGATCGTAAACTGCTTTGAGGAACGATGGGGTAATTGTAAGTTAAAGTTACAATTGGATTGTTGTGATTTACAACTATTGTAGTGTTACAATCGCTTTGAGGAACGGGGCCCTGATTTGATTATTTACAGCTGCCATATGGCTGGAGTACTGTTGAGTCCGGCGTTAACCAACCAACAAACCAACTGTACAGCAGCAGTGACAGATATAGGATGAGTAGCCCTACTTCCAAACATGACATGAAAACATATTTCTCTCTGAAGTTTTTATTCACATCATGACTTGATGTTTCCTATATCTTGGATCACACAATATCTTCTGTATCTTGGTCACACATATCATTTGGCTCTTTAGCCGGGACAAGTGGAAATCCAGAGTAGTTGTTTCAAGTAACAGGTCAGCTGGATATGACACGAGGAGTCAACCATGATGTATCTTATTGTTCAGGAACACTCATTTCTTGAAACCTGTGTCCGGTATTTTCTCCCACAGTTTTTTCAACAATGTTTCCTGTCTGCTGCTGTCCTCCATCAGACCCACAGCTTGCACCACCACCTGGTCCAGCTCCCGGAAGTTCTGGACGGTGCTGGCAGATTGTCTCCCCTTCTTTAAGTCACAGTACTTGCCAAGAAGGTCCAGCAGAAAGACAAACAAGGGTTCTGATTGGTCAGAGTCCATTGTAGTCATGGCAACAGTCACATGACTTAACATCTGAATGAGTACAAATGACACAATCTTTTTGTCCTGGACGTCTGTGAGAACTTTCATTTGTTCCTGGAACAAAAACAGTCACATAATTAAAATCCATGGGATTTATATATTTTGTGTATTGAGGTTTGGTGGGTGGGTAAAAGTTTCTTAGATACGCTAATATAGTCAAAATGTCAAACTTCTCTTAATGCTGTCATATTTCTGGATGATCCTGCCTATGTCCTTGTATATTGCATGACCCTCCCCGAAATATGTGTACTAGGTTTGATGACACCACCCAAGAGACATGTCATATTTTTCGATTCCACCAATTTGACACACGTCGCAGATTTGACACAAGTCGGAAGATTAAATACTTTGGACAATAAAGGATTATGTGAAACTAGCCAATAACAATGTACTTGAGGGTCATCAACCAACATTACCTGCAGAACAGCCACATAGCCGGTGTTGACATGGAGGACAGCAGACGCAGGAGCAGCCGTGTCACTTGATGTTGCCATGACAACATCAGACAGTATCTGAGTCAAAGTCAGTAAACATTTCACCTCTGAAAATTAAAACGTGAGATTTTAAAATGAAAGGTACAACTTATGAAAACATTACAAAGCTAAGAAATCCATAAATATTGCTTACTGGTTCGCTTTTCACATCAGCTGATGGTGCAGAATGTTATCCCATCATCCTACTGATTGTAAACCCAATGAGGACACAGAGTAGACTCATCACTTACGGTATACCTGTGAAGGGACATGAGTGAGAGAGTGAATGAGATTGGTTTTACGCCGCTTTTAGCAAAATCACGAGAGAGGGGACACCAGAAATGGGCTTCACACATTGTACCCATGTGGGGAATCAAACCTGGGCCTTTGGCGTGACTAGCAAACGCTTTAACCACTACCGCCCCACTGCCCCCGAAGGGGACATGACAAATGGGTTTCAAGTCTTTGGGTTAACTGCTCCACAGTCCAAAGAATTCTGAGTGCATACTTACCATTCCTGGTTGCCAGGACAATCTTGTTATACAGCAGAATCCTGTAGGGTGGAGCCAGGCAGTCGTGGGTGATGAGAGTCCACAGACAGCCACTCACCCGCCTCCACTCCACCACCAGCAGGTTTCGCAACATCTGCAACATTACATACATCACAGTAATGGTAACACCATTTCCAAAACATGGAGCACTGAAAGGAACATAATCTAATTACCTACAAGTCCTTTGAATCTGAGTGTGTGAATGGTGAACATCACCATTGGGACACTTGTGCTGAATCGAACCTGGGCCTTCAGCCAAACAAACGCTTCAGCCATTTTGCAATTTCCCCGAGGCCTGACTGTGACTGTTGTCAATCTATGGAGGTACCAACCTGTGTGAGGGCAGACGTGAGAACATCAGGGGAGATAACTCTGTGACAGGATGGGATGCACTGGTTGATGGCAGTTGCAGTTTCCTCTGAGATGCTTGCACACCTCAGCAGCGGCAGACAGTTGTCAGCTGGTAGGAACAGACACGAATTTATCCCTTTATTACTGAGTTGAGCTATCAGAAATGCAGTCACAGTAAATTTGGGAAAAAAGTAAATGATTTTTTACACTTGTCTGCAGGTACAACCAGACAGAACTTTGATCACTGAGTTGAACTATTTGAAATGTTGTCAAGGAACGTCCATGTTTAGAAACAGTACAGACACGCTTGTACCAGATATATCAAGAAGGGCTGTTTAATACTGGGCATTCTGCTATAGATGTTAAACAAAAATAACTGAATCATGTCTGTCACCAAAGTTACAAACATAACAGATGTTTTACAGCTCGACAAAATCAACAGGGCTTCGATTGAAATGAAAGCATGAGCCATGCCCACAGGTCACAATGACAAGAAATAAACAGCATATAATAAACATGGAGCACGGGGGACACCATGGGACCTTCAAAGTATCAGAAGGAAACTAACTCACCACTGCCTTCTATCACGTGATGAACTACGTCTTCAACAAACTACAAAAGAAATGGAGGCATAAGAAAATTGATATATTAACAAAATATATGTGCTTATACCTGTCAAAACTGAACATAGTCATGATTCTGTAAATTATACATAAATGAAAATAATGACCCCAGAAATCTCCAGCTTATCAAATACTTTAACATTACAACACTGATCACAGAATATGCTGCCTCTTCTCATTTATTTGTTTAAGGACATATTCCTGTTATATGATGGCAGCCTGTATATATTCAAGTCTCAAGTGAGTGAGTGAGTTAGGTTTACGCCACTTCTAGCAATATTCATCCAATATTACAGTGGGGGATACCAGAACTTGTTCAGTTGCACAATATGCTCCACCATTGTTACTCTACCGGTTTGTGACTGTCTGTCTGTGCTGGATCCAGGTAAGAGAGTGTCTTCTGAAGGTGGACCAGAACTGTCCAATCAAGATCCTTTGTTTTCAGTTTCAACCAATCAGCAGCCATCTCTGCAAATTCGTCAGAAAATACGAATTTATTTTGGAGCAAATGTAAAACAATGTGTTAAACATGGTAATAAGGGTATTATCTTTTAAAGTCAAATATCACAATACTCATCAATGGATAACTGCATCCACACAAGCCCATTTATATTTACATGATAAATTAGTTTTAAGATTTTACTTTTCTAAATATTGAGTCAGTTGGTAGTCTTAATTTTAATACAAGAAACAAACTGTATTGATATTACAAGTATGGTTGATGATAAAATATACTACTAAAAAAAAATTAGATCACCTGATCTGATCAAATAAGTTTGCAAAAATAATATTATAGATAATATTATTTTTGCAAACTTATTGTTTCTTTCAAACACACTTCCTACACTAAGCTACTTAAGTTGTACACATATGGTGGTGCAAAGAATTCTAAGAGGTACTTCTGCTTGGAATTTGTTAAGTCAAAAAGATATTTTCTTTTCATAAGCATCAACCTTTTTACTATTAAAGCCAGGTAAAGTATAAAAGAAAAAATATTCAGTTTTTGTCTTTATATGATGTTTTTATCGATCAATATACCATGTAAATCATAGTTCCCCAATTCAGATGCTGACCATGTAATTTTGTGAAAATTCCAGCACACTTGGTGTGCATCAAGTGGAGACATCTCAAGCAGGACTGTTTGATACTGGACTTGTTCCCTGGACCATCCCACAGCTCCACACAATCATCTAGCACCTCAAACAGACATAGAAGAAGTGTCTGTGGTTGTAGCTCAATCAACCAATCACAGTCCTTGTCACCTCCACTCTCCAATACACAGATCAACAGCCTCAAGGCAAGCTCAGTGTTGATTGGTTGTTCCTGATTGCCTGAGTTATATGAGCCAATGAAAGGCAAGATGGTTGCAGAGGCAAACTCAGCTGGGGGTAAAATGGCAGCTTCTTCAAATGTGTAGCCACTGACCTCCCGGTGAAAACTCTGAAAAAGTTCATGATAACTACAGTCATTGTGTACAAGTATTTATATCAACATTACATGTGTCAGCAGTACACTTATCTCCATCATGGGATATAACATGTAGAATACATGAAAAGTCTTGAAGGACACAATCTCTATCTCTCAAATATTTCAGATCTAAGTAACTCTTACCTTCACAGCAGTAGATATAAACTTGATTAAATTCTTCTCTTCATTGCGACCAAGTTTGTTTGCCAGCAAATACTGGGTCATCACATGACACAGGAGGGATTTTTCAGGGTGGTGGTTACCATAGCAACAACGACACAAGTCAGGCACTGAGTGGAAAATCTGAGAATGAATATAAAGAAACATTTAACTTCAGAGTTTTAAATTGGTTCGAAGCAGGATCCCATGACTGAAGGAGGGAAGGAGGGAGAGAGGTGAGTAAGTGGGTTGGGTACACTGAGTGGGCAATGTATATCTCAGTCAGCACTCCATCATATATCACAGTGTCCTGTATGCAATCATTCTTGATCTAGTGGATCATAACATAAATCAGGACAGACAACACACTGTCAGCGAAGAAATATATTCTGACCGTCTGGACTATTTACAGAATCACCGGTGCTGGGGATATTCTGGTAATTAATCACACTAGGTGTAGATGGTACAAGTCAAGTGAGCACAATACCTTCAGTATGACTGGAATCTGTCCTGGATTTTTGACTGCAACAGTGGCAGCGTACTCCACTACTGCTACAGCGTTGACCAGACAGAGTCTCAACACAGCCCTTAGGTCCTGGCAATATACAGATTATACAGTGAGCGACCGAGTATGTTTTAATGCCACTTTGAACAGTTTAGCTTGATATTAGAGGAAAAGTCTAAAAGCTCAATTAGGACGATATGGGGATAAAATTGACAGTGCCTTAACATGTTAGATGTCTATGCTACCCTGACCCAGACCTGTCAGGTAATATGGCATTCTGCCAGCACCTATCTGCATGAGAATCCAAGGATACCTCCATAGAAGGTGACCGGTGCACTTTCCATGCTTCAGAAACATACAATGGAGCAAAATAACTTTCTGGAGATATATTTGGTACCTCTTTTTATGCTTGGCATTATTTTACCGGTAGTCTCAGAGAAAGTTAAGCAAAACAAGCTGTAAGTACTTTTTCTGATGTTTCGCTGGTGAATTGGTTGAAGGCAATGTTCATCTCCTGGTGAAAGCTGCCCACAGGTGAGAGAAGGTCAGGAGCATCATGAGACAGGAAGTGCTCGAGAATTATCTCCTCTTGGGTCAAGATTGGTAATCTTGAAAAGGCATTCAACAAAATCTACAAGAGAAAATTTGAAACATAATTGAATGCAAAATATTCATTGGAAGTATTAGTTTTCAATTTGTCTTATCAAAATATAATTTTCTGTTTGTTGTGGCATATTATTGTTGTAATTGGGTTCAATTTTAAGACCAGACAACTTAAGACAGGGGCCTTGGAGACATTTTTTAGCTTAGGGGACACAACAAAAAAATTCTTTTCTTCACAGCTGATGCTAAATTTTCTTTCACTACATACTGCCAGAGTACCACAAAAACTGAAAACAAAAAATGCTATGTTATTGAGGTTTCAACCTCAGGATATGTACCTGCAGGATGAGATCCACAGAGAGACCATGACATTCAACGCTTACAAGTGTCCGTAGAGTCTGAAGGAGCGCTTGGATGTCCGACTCAGAAAACAACAAATCACAGTTCTCTTGCAAAATATCAGTGTATCTGAAATGACACATAAAAACAGCATTCTTGGTGAGAGCACTGATCATTTCCTCCAAAGTGAAAAGGCTGGAAATGGGCTTCACACACTGTACCCATGATGAGAATCCAAACCAGGTCTCCGGCGTAATGAGTGAATACCGTAACCAGTCGCCTACTCCACTGCCCATAATGTATGAAGATATATTTATTGTATAAGACATGTTCTACATTGTTAAAGTTATGACATCAACATGATCAACAACTGTTACCTTTCATTCATCCAAGTGGCAGCATCACAGCAATTAACGATTCTTGTAATGGAAGCTAAAAAAAAGATGTAATTTTCTGAGTAAAATTGATATTTTATACTTATCCTGACTCATGCTTTTTTGCTTGTCTTCTTCTTCTTTTCGAACATAGTGGAACACTTGTATCTCCCAATTGAAGTTCCCTTCAATGTAAAATCACTAATTAGTACTCACCACGAGTTATCCTTCCCCTCGCAAGCGTGGGGACGAGGGCGCCACCTCCCACCATGTGCCTCACTCTCTCCTTTTGTAGCGAGCCTAACACTTGAATTTACAGGGAAATCCAAAGTGTTATGTGGGGAGGACGGGAGGGCTTACCTCATGAGTCAGGATAAGTAATTATACTTTTATGAAGTAACCAAAGTACTAAGCTTAAGATATGCATAAACTTAAGCTATATGAGTATAGTACTGTGCTTAAGATATAATTTAACTTAAGCTATATAATAGTAAAAACTCCGTAGAGTTTGTTAGCTAATATATATATATAAATTGTGACCATATTACTGAGCTTAAGATATGATGAAACTTAAGCTAAATATAATAGCAAAACTTCTAGAGTTGTTAGCTAATATATTGTATGATATAAAAACCATGGTACTGAGCTTAAGATAATAGATTGAACTTAAGCAAAATATATATACAGCATGTAGCTATTTAGTACTTATATCAGATAAGTATAAATCTGTAAGATTGACTTATCTTCTCCGAGGAACTGTCAACTGTTGAGCGAGGACCATGGGACCGAAATGGTGGTTACCTGAGACATCCTTGGTGGTAATATCTCTCAGATAGTGGTTGGCAAACACCATATCGGATCTCCAGAAACATCCCCTCCATAATGGTATTCAAAGAGCAGTTGCCGTGTAGAGCAAGCGTTGATGCTAGCGCTCTAATTTCATGAGGATTAGATGCTCTTGGAGGGTCGAGTCCTGCAGCCTTGTAGGCACGTAGTATGACAGTTCTGATCCAAATTGAGATAGTAGTACGTGAGACTTCCGTCTGCGTAGCTGTAGACAGAGGGATAAATAATCTCTTGAATTTTCCTCTCCTCTGTTTGGATCGGTGGAGATATATTTTCAGTGCTCTTACTGGGCATAGTGATAGATCCATCGTATCATGAGGTCCAAGAATGGATGAGAGAGCTGGGACGTGGAATAATCTGTCTTGTTGACCTGGCAATTGGTTCTTAGGTATAAAATCCCAGCGAAGTCCCAGATGTACGATATTATGAATATCATCAAAGCGTGTTCTCTCGTAATCCAAAGCGTGAATCTCCGACATCCTGGCAGCCGTAGCTAGCGCGCTAACAGGAACAAAGTTTTCTGGGTCAGTGATTCAAACGATGTAGATTCTAACGGTTCATAAGCCTCACTTGTGAGGTGTTGGAGCACTATATTTAGATCCCAAGCTGGAGCATGAAACTTCCGCTTGTGATCCTCCAATCGAACGCCGTAGCAAAGCGAGTAACTCTGGGGGTCTTTGTTAACTTGACGCGCTCTCATAGTTATGACAGAGCTTAATGCTGCAAGATAAGTGGACAAAGTTGAGCCTTTAGATTCTTAGTTTGTCGTAGATAACATAAGTAGTCCGCCACTTGAGGATGAGTAGCATATCTGGCTGTAAATCCTTTCTTTGCAGCATAATTGACAAAACTGTGCCATTTGTCATCGTATAAGTTGCGAGTTGAGTTACGCAGTGCAAGCGTGACTGCTTCTGCCGCTCTGGCTGAATAGCCTCTCTTATTCAGACATGCCTTGATACAATCCATACATGAAGTTGGAATACTTCTGGTTTTCCGTGCACTTGTTTGGTGTGCGGATGTATCAATAGATTCGAGCGTTGTGGAAGTTGTAGAATTGGTTGTCCGATTTCTTGAATAAGATTTGGAAACCACGTTCTCGCTGGCCAGTAGGGCGCGACCAAAATCAGATGGAGGCTCTGCGTTTGACTGATTTTCTGTAAGACTTGTGGGATTAACGCTGTAGGCGGGAAAGCGTACGCGTTGAGTCCCTCCCACGATATGCTTAGTGCCTCCGTTGCCCATGCTAGTGGGTCTGGACGTGGCGATACGAAGGTTGTCAGTTGTTTGTTGAATCGAGTGGCGAATAGGTCTACTAGTGGAGATCCTATTTCCATGATTATTTGAGTGAATATCTCTGTGTGGAGCATCCATTCTGTCGGCGACGGTAGGTGTGGCCGAGAGAGAGCGTCTGCTAATACATTCTTTGCTCCTGGAATGTGGCAAGCTCTGACATGTATGTTTAGATTGTCGATTTGAATAATCGGAAACATAGGGACAGTAGGTTCGGTGACCTTGTTGAGCCTTGTTTGCTCACATAAAACGCCACTGTTGAATTGTCTGTGTGAATCATCAACTGAGCGTTCTGTAGTAGGTTGCTCCAGTGACTTATGGCGTTTATGACTGCTTGCATCTCTAGCAGATTTATGTGACATTTGCTCTCTTGATTGCTCCATAGGCCTGACGCTGTCTTGTAGGCGCAGGTGGGCTCTAACCTTGTAGTGACGCTGCCTCCACGAGAGATGTGTTTTTCGATTCCGCTCTAATAAGGAGACGCCTACGCAAACATTCAATCTCTTGGTCCACCAGAGTAGATGAGGTTTGACGTGATCTGGTAGACTGAACGGTAGAGGGTCGTCGAGATGCGCATTGATGAGGACTTGTAACGGACGTAATTGAAGCCTGCCTCTGACTGTCAAGTCTTGAGCTGATGTGAGTAGTCCCAATAGGATCTGCCACTGTCATAGTGGTAGCGGAGAGAGTAAGGCTTGTGGGATTAACTGTTTGATCTTGATCCATCTGTCCTCCGGGACTACTATACGATTCTGGGCTGTTAGAATTCGTATACCTAGAAATTGCAGATCTTGCGTTGGTTCTAGGTCCGACTTGAGTAGATTTACTAACCATCCTAGTTGAGTTAGTAACTTGATTATAAAGTTCAGCTGTAGTCTGAGACGCTGTGGATCTGGATCCACTTGTATTCCGTCGTCTAGGTAAAATGCGCTGTGAAGACCTTGACGATGTAGGTATGAGACAATAGGCTTGGTCACTCTTGTGAATACCCAAGGGGCCGATGAGATTCCGAAGGGAAGTACTTTCCATTGGTAATGTTTCCCGTCTAGGATAAATCTTAGATATTTCCTTGAGTTGGGATGAATCGGAATGTGTAGATATATGCGTCTTGCAAATCTATGCTGGCCATGTAATCTTTGGGAGAATTAAGTGCGGTTATGGTAAGTGTATCATGCTAAACGCTGGCGGCTTTGCTTAGATAGTTTTTGTTGAAGATGCTCATGTTGTATATGAGACGAAACTTTTCCTTGGAATTTTTCTTGGGCACTAGGAAAACTGGGGAGTAGAAACCTGGTACGATGTTTCACTGATCCAGAACTTCTAAGGCCTGTTTGCTTAGCAGAGTAGCTACTGTTTCTCTTAACATAGGTAGTTGTGCTGGTTGAAAGTCGAACCTTGGAGGGGTGACTGTTAACGGAGGTGTGGCCTTGAGTTGTATTAGATATCCGTACTGTAGGATATTGGATACATAAGGATCTTGTAGTAGTCCCCAGTTTTCCCAGTGCAGCTGAAGCCGTCCACCCACTTGAGAAGGTTGTACTGGAACGGCTGGGGGTGGAAGACTTCAGTCGTTCCGAACCTGAATTTCATCGTCTAAATGCGCGGGAACCTCTGGATGATCTGCCTCTTGCCGATCCTCCTCTGAAATTGCTGTATGGGCGACGAAAAGATTCCCTGGGACCTTTTGCTGTAGCCAATTTTTTGTCCCGTGCTTTCTGTAGTCCAGAGAATTTAGACTTGCCAGAGTATCTCAAGGATGATTGCTTAATGACGTTCGCTAAGGTATCCATGGACTTGATCATAAGCACCTCTCTCGAGTCCTTAGACACCTCTTTGGAGACCTTGTCTATGTTACCACCAAATAGTAAGGGCGATGACCATGGAGCAGCGTAGAGTGATTCCGTAAATTGATTATCCCAATTGCAGGAGGCTAGTAGACCTTGAGGAAGAGCCATGGTAGTAGTTTCAGTAAGCACTGACAAGTGATCTGTAAGGAACTGATGGTCTCTTTTCTGCATGAGTAGAGCCGAGTAGATCATTCTATCTTCCTCCTCTGTAGAATCCTTGAACTTGGTGATGAGCGTTTCATTGACAGTTCTAGATCTATTCAATCCAAAAAACATTCTCCTAGAAATGGTATCCAACTGGGCTAATTTGCGATCGTCTATTCTGTAATTCCTGGACTTGGCATCACTGATTAACTTAAAGTTGTCATCAATCTCTTGGGCCTTGAAAAAGGAGTCCATATTGTGACCTGCAAATTTCTTGGCGTTGAAAACCGGGAAATGTGTTGATTGAAATTTCATAGATTTGGTAAAGGCTGTATCCAGATTAGCTGGGACCGCTGCTATCTGGTCAATAGGAGGTAAGGTGATAGTGTCCGCATCATCTTCCTTCATCAAATAAGTATGAACTGAGTTCTCGTTCTTAGACGGGGAAGCAAGTTCTAATTCATTCACCATCCAGTATCTAATTTCTGCATCTGAGAATACGATACCTTCTTCCTCTTCTGACGTAGGATCACAAATAATAGAGTGAGGAGGAGTCCTAGATCTGTAAGAAGATCGACGAGAAGATTGTGGTGAACGGACTGACGAGTGGCTAGTATATGGAGACCTTGGAGGAGACTTCCTCGGCGAACGCTGGTGGCTTCGTGAAGCTCTCGATGAGTCCCTTCTAGATCTTCTGGGTGAAGATGACTTGGAGCCACTTAACCTTCGTGAAGGCCTTCTGGAGGTATCGAGTCAGAGTCCGAATCATTATATGGGAGCCTGCTTCGCGAACGACCTCTGTGTTCTACAGGGTGTGAGCTCGGTGAAGCACTCCTCCTCCGCCAAGCCCTTCGCGAACTGGTGAGGCTCTGGATCCTTCGCGGGAGGCTGCCTGGGACGCTTCTTCAGAAGGCTTCACTCACGGG